GCGGCGGCGGCGCCAAGTGCTGAATCACCACTTTGCAGCAGCACACAGCACAGCCACGGTGACCCGCGGGCCGCGTGGGGCCCGGGCGCTCGGGGCGCTTACCCACACTGTCGCTTCGCTAGCGGCGGGCGGGCGCCGAGGATGGAGCGCAAGGTGCTGGGTAGCGAGGGATGCAGCAGCCACGCGAGCCCGTTCCGCATACCCCGGCGCAGCCGCTGCGATCTCCGAGAACGCTTCCTTTTGGCGCTGGGAGCCGGCCCTGCGCATTGCGCATGCCCAGTCCGCCGCGCCGCGCCGCCTCTAGGGAGCCGAGGACCGGCCTCCGCACCGGGTTTTACGCGGAGCCGAGCGGGAGGGGGACGGCCGCAGCCTGGGCCCCGGCTGGCTGGCAGGTGGGTGGCGGTTCTGCCCCGGAGTGTCGGAGGCCCGGCGGCTAGCCCTTTGTAGGCCAGCAGGGTCCCAGCCGGGCTCCACCCTGTGCGCCGCTGAGGCCGAGGGTTGCCTGACTGTGGCGTGGGGAGGGCGCACACGGCGGGAAGTCCCCAGGCAGGATCGCGGCCCAGCAGGTGTTGGAAGTCCGCCCCAGGCGGCTGCCCCTCCGAAACATATCCGCTGCGGAAGCGGGGCCCGCGGGCTCCCTCTAGAGCGCGGAAGGAACGTGGACTGCGGAAGCACGCGTGGGACCTGTCGGGCTTAGGAGTAAGGACAGTTCAGGTCTCGGGAGATCCCCGAGCCAGGACAGGCCTCAGCTAAACAAGGCGTCTGTAGACTTTCAGACCCAGAAGAAGAAACTTGTTTTTGAGACGGGGTCTCACGTCGCTAGGCAAGCTTCTCTGCAGTTTACTGTGTGGCTGAGGATGACCTTGAGCGACCGTCCTCCCAACTGGGATTACCGGTGCACCACGCACCAACCCAGAGCGGGGAAACCACTGCTAGCGACTACTACTGCTTATGCCCGTGGACATAGGTTGTTACTTTCTTTTCTCCTGAAAACGACTCTCACTATGCAGTTCTAACTGGTCTGGAACTCGCTATGTAAACCAGTCTGACCTCAAAAGGTCATTACTTTTTAAAGACCTGACTTTTCTCCCTGGTGATTTTGGTGCTTTGCATCCACAGATAGCCTAATAGTGGTTATGAAAAGGAATTTCCATTACATTTAGTACATATCGTGACGGGTCGGGTGTATCTCCCCAGCTTAACTACTTTCAAGTGTCTGGTGTAGCAGACCAAACACTGTAGCCAAACCCAGGGTTCTGACTCCTATTATTGCTACAAATGAAAACAGTAGTAGCAGGTGGTCTCTGAGATACCCTGTGCCATGAAAGACCGTGCGTGGAGGACTGTAGATACAGATGGACAAATAGATTTTGCCAAGACCAGAGTGAACAACCAGAACGTTTATTTAAATACATTGCAGAGGCTGGGGATATAGCTTAGTCAGTACAATACTTCGCTAGCATGCACAAAGCTCTAGGTTGGATCCCTAACACTGCAATAAAACTTTGTGTGGTGGTACGCGTCTGTAGTCCAAACCCTCGGGAGGCAGAGACGGGAGGATCGGAAGTTCAAGAAAATCCTTGGCAATTTACTGAGTTTGAGCCCAGTATACATGAGAACCTGTCACCAAAAATAAAAGTAGAGGAGACATACTGCAAGGGCTAGCAAGATGATTCTGCGGGTAAAGGTGCTTGCTGTGCCAGCCGGCTGACTCTAGTTCAATCCCTGGGACCCATGTAAAGGTGAAAGGGATAAGGGGTCCACAAAGTTGTCCTCTGAGCTCCATACACATTGTGTGCACAATAGACACACATGTGCACACAGTATTTTTTTTTAAAGGAATGAAAATACACTGGAAAGACCCAGAGCTCCCAGAGACATTATGGATCTCTAAGTAGTCAGCCTCCTGATGTCTGAGCACGATCCTTAACAGGTACAATGCGATTCAGTCGTGTTAAGACATCTTAAGACAAAAAGCATCTAGGTCTTATGATTAACTCTTGGTGAGGTAGCAGCCCTGCTATGAAACCATCTGTCTAGCTCTGAACCCATTCTAACCTGAGGCAGGAAGAACCTTTTTCTGAGGTAAGAGTAACTCTGGGCAGCCATCTGTCCCCAAAATCGTGTCCACATTCCTCTCTCCCACATCTCCAAAGTTAAATATGATCACAAACAAGGCATAATGAAGATTTGTCATCTGAAATTTCTTCATGACTGAATAGGGGCACTACAGACCCTGCTTGGCATTGCTGCCAAGCAATCCTCGTGAGAGGATCACGAGAGTGCGGAGTATCTCAAGAACCATTTGGAGAAGGGAGGAAGTAGCTATCTAAGAAACTGAAGGTTGTACGGTGACATCAGATCCAAAGATCCTCAGAGGTGGCAGACAGGCCCTTGGTAATGGTTGGTGTCACTGAGCAAGCACCATCAAGAACAGATAGGCCAATAATCGGGACAATACAATACTACCAAAAGGTTTGTAAGCAGGGACCAAAGGCACAAAGCAAACTTTAAACAGGAAAGGCCTGGGGTTAGCTTAACTGCTGTGTATAAGGCCCTGGGTTTGAGTATTAGCACTACAGAAAACTGGGTGTGGTAGCAATTGCAGGTAATTCTACAACTCAGAAGGTAGGGGTAGGAGGATCAAATGTTCAAGGTCACTCTTGACTACTACACACCCGTCTGAGGTCAGCCTGGGATACCAGAGATGCTGTCTGGTGCTGATGGTGTCAGGTCCTCTGTTTGAGTGGTTGGTTTCTTTTGAGAGTTTTTCTCTACTTTTCCTGAAGAGTCAACCCAGAAGTAACAAGTTTTACAAAGGGGAGCTCAGGTGCCTCCTTTCTTTGAAGTAAGAATGTCTTGGACCTTCTGGATTTGGAGGATCATTCCTTCTAGGAAGTTGAGGCTCCATTGTACCTCTAGAGCGACTACTGAGGTCTTCTAGATAGAGTGTCAGATAAGAGGTATTTCAATATTCATCTCCACAGCTGAAATTCTCATTTTCCAATAAGTCATCTAAGAATGGAGCAGGAAAATCTGAGTATTGGCAGTTATCAATTAGTTGTCTGTTCTAACCCTTGATTGTGGCTAGTGATCCAGATTTTGGGATATGTTGTAGGAATTTATCAGAGTCATTGTATCTAGGGTGGACATTAGAATGAAAAGATGTTTGGCCTTGAATATTTGTGGGAAATAGTGATTGTTTTCCATGATTTGTAGAATTGTTTTGCTGAAGAGGCATTGCACCTATCCCTTGATTTTGGTCACAGGATGCCTCAGGCACACCTGAGGTTCCTGTATTATTGTCTATGATACATAATAAAGGACAATAATAAATTACATGCCATGGGGGAGGCTTGTAAATTAGATTAGGGACCTTGATATGAGGAAACACTTTGTGTAACAATCAGTAAATGTGCCTTTGTACAGCTGCTCTAGGTTCAGTCCATCAGAGAAGCTGGACCTTCTTGCTGTAACATAGGCCTCAAAATTTCGCCTTGGAGCACCTTCTTTCTCTAACCAGCCCACGCTACTCGGTGCACCCCGACAGGAATATCAGGCATCTGGGACTGGGTTTTTGCTACACTTCGGGGCAAGGGTGGGTATGAAGGCGAATGTGCCTTTTCCAGAAAGGAGCCTGGGTTGTAAAGAGCATCAACAGATGGAGAATCTGAGACACTGGCAAGCTGGGCATCGGCGACAGCAGCCTGCATTTGTACAGCAGGCCCCCTTCAGTGGGGAGGAAGAGCATCGATTGATTCCCCATAGAGAGTAGTGGCTGGCCCCAGGACCTAGCTGTGCCAGCAGCTGGTGAGGATAGAAGGATCCCAGAGTCCCCACTGAAATGTTTTGGCCCGGCACCAAGGAAATAGTCATCAATACAGATTTCTGGGTAGTGGATCAATGGTAAGGTGCCTGACAGTCCAGGTCCCCCAAAATCAAGAGAAAAGTGGGTCATACTTGGCTGTGGATGGAACTACAGTTAATTGGTTTCTCTTTAACATTTCAGCCCCCCCCACCACCGTGTGTGTGTGTGTGTGTGTGTGTGTGTACTCCCTATGGTAAACATGGGGAGGTCAGACGATAACTCCAGAAGTCATCTCTCCTTCCACCCTGCAGGTCCTGGGAACCAAATCCAGGTCAGCAGTTTTGGCAGCAGTTTTGGTTGTTACCTTACCCGAGAACCATCTCATGGGCCCACATATTATGTTCATCAGAATGCCAATGATCTCTCTTATTGCTAAATATTTACCTTTGGCATTATTAAAAGGCCAAAAAGAATCATTAAGAAGTTATGCCAAAAAAGAAAAAAAAATTTAGTTATGTTTTAGCCTTGTGGTCTCAACATAAGTTGACGGAAGCAATATAGGAGTATCAACATACTGTTTATCATATGGCTTCCATCCAGAAACACCAGTATTGGAGTTCCGTAAAAAGAAACTGTGATTGCATAAAGTGGTGTGTAGGACTGACAATAACAGTCCGCTCCGTACGGAACGTGGGGACAGAAGGCAGACTTCCTGACCAAGGACTGAGCCTTACACAGATTGTTTTGTCAGATTTGGCAGCTACCTATGGGCTGAAGGTTTCAGTTGTGTTTGATTGTAGAGTAGGCGGTATTGGGAAATCCTGACTATTGGGCAGTTAGCTGGCCTTCTGTGACGGGGGCTTCTTGGAGGACTGTGGTGGCATGCTATTTAACTAGGCAAAGATGTGTTCCATTTGTTTATGCTGCAGAAGATTGCTTTAACTGTAAAAGCGTGTTGCTTTTATTTATGCTGCATTTGTTTAATGATGTAAGGTTGTGTGCTTAATTATGTAAAGATGTGTTGCATCTGTTTTACCTTGCCTGCCTAAGGCACCTGATTGGCCTAATAAAAAGCTAGCCAGCCAGGAGAGGGATAGGCAGGGCTGCCAGAAAGAGAGTAAGTAGGAGAAATCTAGACTTAAGAGAAGAAGAGGAGAGAATGAGGGACATGCCCAAGGCAAGAAGCCAGACAACCACCAGCCTGTCAGACAAGAAAAACATGGAAAGTAAGTTACACAGAAAGAAAAGGTTAAAAAGCCTCAAGGCAAAACATTGATAAAGATAAACAGATTAAGTTAAAAGAGCTAGCCAGAAACAAGCCTAAACTAGGCCAAGCATCCATAATTAATAAGTCTCTGTGTCATGATTTGGGAGCTGGTTGGTGGCCTAAAACAAAAGGCCTGGGACGGAGAGCCACCTCTACAGTATCAAATCTCTCTACTGGTTAGACCAGACAGCTAGCTAGTCCTGTTTATGGCTGGGGAGAGAGGGGAGAGAAACATCAAAAAGGGGGATGGAGGAGACAGACAACACAGCAAGGAGTCAAAGATTTGGAATCTTAGCCAGGAAAGCCCTGAACACCTAAAACACGCTCCATGTGTTGTGGGAAGTTCTCTCTCCTTTAGGAGATTTTAAGGTTTTTGCCCAACAAGGGGAAAGGAGACACACTTCTGAGGGAGGGGTTGTTTTGGAGTGAGGGCAAGAGAACAATGAGTAGGCCTCTGGTCTAACACCGCCACCACAGTATTCCTCTGGGCAAGCCGAAGAAGGGCAAGGTA